TCCCAGGAAATAAAGCAGCCTCCAGCATATAGTGCTTCCAGAATCCCTCAGATAAAACCCCATGAAGAAACCAGAGCTACTAAAATCCTTGGGACCTCAATGTTCTAAGTACATCAGTTCAAGGGCTGTACACATGTGCTTTGCATGAGTTTTCTGAAAAGATTTCAGTCTATTTAAATACCATCCCTACCAAACAAAACAATTTGATAAGGTAGATCTTTCTTTGCTCAAACATGTTACTTAACTATTTCTTCCTCCAATGCCATCCCTAGTATGAAGAAAAAACTAGTGGTGGCTGATGAAGTGTATTTAAGTGTCATGGCAACACATGAGTAGGAAGGCAAAGTGTCCCTGCCATCAGGCAGCCCTGGGCCCTGGCCAGGACACAGAGGCATAGAACAGCAGCCCAGGGCAGCCATCTCACTTCCCCCAGGGAGACAAACACTGATGACTCTCGAAGGCGTAACTGTGTTGACACCATTGTCTCTGCTGCCATAAGGTTGGAGGCAGAGAGGAATCTAAATAGAAAAAGGAATGAAACCCTGGCCTTGTCAAGGGAGCGGGCTTCTGGGAGAGGCTATGTGTCCAGCCCCAGGCCCCTAGAAGAGAGGGAGGCAGGAAACTGTCATTTGGACTGCCCACTACGTCCTGCCAGATGTACTCATGCACCATGCCCAATCTAATCCCTGCCACAGGCGGGCAGCCAGGGTGCCACCTCATCCCAGCCTGTGCATCGGCAATCATGGCAGCCTCACCGTGGAGACCAAGCTCCTGGACTCACTGATGGGAGGCTCTGAGCTCTGAATGCTGCCGGCAGGACCTTGGCAAGCTCCCCAGCCTCCCTGGGTCCTGTGGCCTCCTCTGCACAATGGCATCTGAACACAAACCGTCGGTTCACATGTGAATATATAATATGTATAATTTCATAAATGTTAGCTCAACAAATGTTGGCATTATTATAAGAAGTTCACCTTCTGTAAATAGTAAAAGTAAGGAGACTGGCGACCACAAACTACCCTGAATGTCCTGAAGACTGCCTGGTCACTGAGGCACACACGACTCTGCATCCTCTCATATGCCACATCTCGCCTGGCCACATATCCCCATCAATCCAGAACCTCACCACTTGTCACCACCACACACCACCATCCAAGCCACACCACTGTCATTTTGTCCCTGGATTATGGCTATGGCCTCCTACCTCTTCTGGCCTCTGTACCCAGCAGCAGGAGGCTTTCAGGGATGGTGCCCTCCTCTGTTCAGCCTTCCGATGTCTCCCATCTTATAGGAAAAGTCGAAGTCCTTACTGTGGCTGGCAAGGCCCTGCCCCACTGGGTGCCTGCCCTGCTGCCACCTTTGTGGAGTGTGGAGCCCTTCCCATACTTTATACAATGTGTGTGTGCTGTGCCCTCTGCCTGGGGTGTTCTTCCAGGACCCCTCTCTGGTTGTCTCCCCCACCTCCTTCGGGTCTTTGCTCAGGTGAGCTTTTCTCAGGTGGCACTGCGGTCTAGACCCTCATTCTCCCTTTTCGGCTTCAGTTTTCTCTTCGGTACTCACCGTGCTCTTACCCCTGCATTTTCATGATCTAACTCGCTTGCTGTCAGCCTCTTCCACTGAAATGGAAGCTCATGCGGGCAGGAACTGTGACAAATCTTGGTCAGTACTTTACCCCAGCACCTAGAGGACAGGCCCCATACCTACAGGGGCTTAGAGCCCACTCTCGCAGGCCAGCCGGCTGAAGGAACAATGGCTGCAGTGCTTCAAGCTCTTTATCCAAGTTCAGAGAATCCCAGTGAAGCCAGGGCAGTGGGGAATCTTGACTCTGTGGTTCTTGTGAATCCCACAAAGAGTGGTTCTTAACAAGCATCAGTGGACCCCAGGGGTCTCTTCTGTGTGATGATCAACATGCAAGGGGTCCCTGAACTTGGATGGATGGGGAAAAGCACAGCTTTGTTCTCACTATCCTGTCCTCTAGCTGAGATGAAGCATTTCTTGACATTATATATAGGAACAAACCACAGTGATACTACCTGTGACTGTGTCACCAGTAGAAATCAGATATTTTCATGTTGTATTATATTTTTGCTAATGTCTCAAAATATGATTCTGCTCATCACCACTTCAAAATTATAGTGATTATTGCACCTACTACTAGAGCTTGCAATAAAGGTGTTCCTTCGTTACTATATATGTATTTAATGCACGAATGAAGGTATTTCTATATTACTATACATGCATTTGATTTTCAAAGTATTTCTCTATAACTGGTGTACTCTGGAATTCCATATGCCTTATGCTCTGCATTTACAAACACTCTGAGAAGTGCAAGCCAACCATGGCACAAAGAAGGCTGAGAGACTGCCTTTGAGACCGATTCCTTTTATCTCTTTTAGTGTCCCTGCTAAGTTCCAGGGTATGTCCAGGGTCCAGCCCTCGGAGGTGGTGATCAGAGGGACAAGCAACCAGGGACCACAGGCAGCATGGGCCCGGGGGTTGCCAGGCACTGCGCTGGGGACTGAACCCATGCCAGCTGTCCAATTTGGGTTTCTAGCTCCAGATCCAAAGACAGGGTCAAGGTCGGACTGCCAGTAAGACTCTCACATTTGACTGAAAACAAAATGGAGTTCTGAGCTAGCAGGTTAAAAGGCGGACTGTTTATTTTTATATGTGTATTTTCCCCAACGACTACCTTCATACATATTCACCTCATCCTTACGGAATACATATGTAAAATGGAGGTTGAGAAACAAATCCTTTAGAAAAAAAGGCATGAAATTCTGTTGTTCTGACTTCTTGTTTCTTCTGAGCAAACTTGGGGTCACTGTCCATTGGGAAAGGCCCAGTGTGCAGAAGGGGAAGAAAAGCACATTCATTAGGCCACTGTCTGTAGCAGCCACTGAACTAATTACTTTCCATGTAATTTATTTACCATCTCTTTCCCCGGGCATGGAAACTGAGGCTAGGAGACATGACCTGGCTTGGCTCAAGTCACTTCCCCAATTTATTACTAAGTGTCCTGACTGCCATTTGATAATACACTGAGAGATGCCATAGACCTAATATTCATCCTGCTAAGCAATCCTGTTTTTACTTTTTGAGACAGGTTCTCACTTTGTCACCCAGGATGGGGTACACTGGTGTGATCTCAACTCACTGCAGCTTTGACCTCCTGGCTCAAGCAATCCTCCCGCCTCAGCCTCCCAAGCAGCTGGAACTATAGGCACATGCCACCATGCCCAGCTAACTTCTGTATTTCTTGTAGAGATGGGGTTTCATCATGTTGCCCAGGCCGGTCTTGTATTCCTGAGCTTAAGCTATCCACTGGCCACAGCCTCCCAAAGTGCTGGGATTACAGGCGTGAGCCCCTATACCCAGCCCCGGTCACTTTTTACAGTTAGGTACCACTGGAGAGACTAACCACCCAACTGGAAACATTTTTCTCATTTCTATTTTCCCACGATAGAGACTGACCCTCGAGGGTGGGCTGGGGAGGGCGAGCAGATTGTTCAATGAAAAGCTGCAGGCATACTTCAAGTCCCTCTGAATCCACAGCTACATGCACAGCTTCAGAGCAATACAAAACAGGTCATTTAATTTCATAAAATGATCTTTCTACAGTTTGTTTTTTCCTCCCAGCCTATTGAAATGTACACACCACGAGTACAAAGTACAAGGTACTGCTCAGCTGTAATTTTACTTCTGCACATATTTAATGTGCTACTTGGATGAAACACTTCATGGTTCCTGTGCTTAGCAAATGAAATAAATCAATGTGTTGAGAAAGCGATTTTGTTCTTGCCGTTTGGGGAGAGTGCTCTTTACTTTTCTATTAACAAAAACTTAATGAACCATTTCACATTCAAAACCCCCTAGAAAGGTCATAATGTCTATTTCTTAATTAAGTTTTTACAAGTCAAATAATGCTAATTTTCTTTTATATCTCTGCACGGGCAGCAGCACTTAAAAAAAAATTACTGAGAATAAACACCACCACAGAGTGAGGACTCTTTCAGTGAGTTAAATATAGATGCTTGCAGGGCTTTATAAAGGAAGATAGAGAAAGCAAAATGACCCGACCCAGGATTTATTAAGTATAATCAAAGAAACAAGGTATTTGGGTTGCCATGGAATTTGGGCCAAAATAAAGTTTCCTGTATGGTGATGACTTGGAATTATGCTTCAAAACAGGAAGCGGAATAATGCCGACCTGCTCTAAGAAACAGTGGTCACTCAGTATTTAAGTTCTTTCTCTTGGATTTGTTTTAGATGTTTATGCTTAAACTTCCCAGCCTGTATTAAACAGGCCTAGGCTTTGTAGGATACAGAAACAGGTACTTGAGGCTCACCGCTGGTTCGTTCTTAGGCAAGTCTTATTTTTTCATCCTAATTGCAGCAGAGAGCATCGGAGCTTTGTCAGCTTTACCTGCTCTGAATAGAAGCACTTTTGGCCCCCTTGTCAAAGACTAGGGAAGAAAGCCCGCACTCCGGTTGGCAGCAGTCTTGGATTCTCGCCCCCGGCCATACTGTGCAATCACGCTGTTTATTCCACTGTAACAATCAGACAGCAAGAGCAGAGCACCTGGTACTCCCGGCCCGGGCCTTCCTTGGCAGCTGACGGGCAACCTCGCTGCCAGGTGGTCGCGCTTCAATTACATTAGCTAGCCATTCTAGGGTTAACGAGGACCCACTTTCCTCAGAATGCCCCGGGAAAATCAGTTATTCATAAAAAGACAGTATGCCTTTTGTTGATCATTGAACAACGTTGCTGAAAATCCATTAAATTAAATTCTCTTTATTGGGCTGAATAATGCAATAGCAATAGCCCCAGCTAGAAGTTTGCATGTTTATTTACCAAATTTCTGAATAATTTATACATGGATCCTGGCTCTTTTATTAGTCAGTGGCCACATGCTTCTTCGGAATGGAGCAGTGTAGCTGTGCCTTCATCTTAACATGCACCAACACCCGCAAATAAAAAACAAACAGAAGCCAAATTTAATGGAGTGGCCAGAGAGGGAATTCTTACTTTAATTCAGAATTCACATTCCAATTTTCTTTTGCAAGAGGACTCTCACATATTTTGGCATGCATTTACATAAGATGCTCTTTGGGAGCTGTTTCATATGCGCACATTTTTCATAACAGAAAATGAAAGAGGAGGAAACAAGTGGGAGTGTGCTGGCCGTTAATCTCTAAGTCCGGGAACTGCTGCCAATGTTTAGGTGGAAGGTGACCCGGATGAGGTGAGTCTGGGTGGACCTGTGGCTAGCCTGTAGCTGAAACAGACGAACAGCTAGAATGTCACCTTGCCTTCCCCAGGCCTCTGCAGCAGTGACCACTGTGACGGTAGAGGCAGGTCAAGGCAGGACCGCAGCAGAAGCAAGCTCCCTCCCCTCAGTCCTCTGCCATCCTCTGCTTCTCTCCCTCAAGACCAGAGATGGGGCTGCAGCAGCCCTCCCTCTCTCCTCCTGGCTATGCTCTGGATTGCCCATGGCTGGAGCACTGGCCACCAGCCTCAGATACAGAGCTGCAGAGTTGACTTGTGCTAGAAAAGCTATAAGTGGAAGCAGTGTAAGAAAAACAAAGGTACGGAGGTATCATTGAGTCTTTTAAACAGTGCTGTCCTGGGGATGCAGTGTTAGCTGTTCTGGAGATCATTTTAAACCAGGATTTTTCTTTTTTTAATTTAGAGGAAGCATCAACAGAAAGTGAAATTATCCTGAAGCACAGATTATTTATCAAAAAGAACATAAGACAAGCAAAGAAAGAAATTCTACTGGATTTCACTTTCATTTAAGAACATTTTTTTACTGTTTTTCAGAAATGAAGAAGATCAGCTGAATAAATTTAGAGGAAAGGCATAAATATTAGTTGGTTTGCACATCTGAAGTAGTCTGTGAAAATATTTTTAGCAATTAGTGACAATGCAGTTGGAAGCAGAGGGCGGTGGCTCAGAAAGTGAGCACCCAGCCTGGCTGTGAATTCGCCTCTCGCTTGCCGGCCGAGAGAGCATAGGCAAGTCATTCAGCTTCTGTGTTTTCACTTCCTTTCTTGCAAAATGGGACAACAACCCTATTTTCTAGTGATGATAAGGTAGACAGGAAATATTTAGCACATTTTACAAATTATGAGACCTCATTAAATGATGACCTCTCAGTCATAATTCATTTCAAAGGTGCGCATATGAAACAGCTCCCAAAGAGCATCTTATGTAAATTCATAAAGCAAGAGCTCCTTGGTGGGAATGTTCTACACTTTCAGATACCATGAGGCATCTTCACTCGCTCTTTGTCCTCTTAGCCTAATTCAAGTCATGGGCATATACTCAGCTACTCTTGGTCCTTAAAGTAACCATCTCATTCATTTCCCTTGCAGTGAAATAGCAAAAACAAATTAAAACCAAAGAATCACTGTATTATATCGCTGATGAAATATCTACAGATTGCAATCGGACATTCAGATACAAATGTTTTAGTTTTGCTCCCTCATCATTTTCAATAAATGCTCTGGCTTTGGCTTGGCATTTATCTTCCTAAAGCAGACTGGTGTTTGGTCACAATGTAAGGTTCTAGTAACATTATCTGTGCATTCTAAGATCCACCTTGAACAAGGCTCCAGCACAAAGGTATTAGAATGTGCTCACGACAAGCACACACTCTTCTACTGCTGAAAAACAATGGCTGACACTTCTGTATGAACAGACAGAAGGCACATCAAAGACAGCCTTTTACAGAGAAAAATTGTGTGATGCCCACTTTAATCTCTCTAAAAATCTATGCACGAGCTGAACCCAATTTCATTCTTCACATAAACACTGAGGCTTGATACAAGGACATCTTCTTTTTTTTTTTTTTTTTTTTTTTTACTGCTAAAAGATGAAGAGACAAAAGATATGCTAGCATAGCCTTTGAACTTTTTAAAGCTCTATCAATGGACCACGATACTTAACCACTGATACAAGGGCAGAGATTTTACAATAGTTGCATTTAAAGCATTCTGACTAAAACCAGTCATTATTATAGATTAAAGAAAAGCATTAATATCCACATTTTCCTTAAAGCTACATAGTTTTTATACTTTTAACCCTTTGATCAATTAACAAGGGTCTAAAACGGTAAGATTGTAATAGCAGAAGGATTTGTAAAATTACCATGGCATGGGGATGTAATTTGCAGGGGATTGCATTCATTCCCTGCATGAGAAAGGGTGCAGGAAAAGCATGTTTTTGGGTGGGGATGGGGGAAGCACTCCTCCAGTGAATGGATGTCTTCGAACTGAGATAATCCAGATGGTAACTCTTCCGACATTGCATTATTTTCTGCGGGAATGGGGGAACTATGAAGTGATATCCCCAGATGCCTCTTGATCCTCACTTTTTTCTCCTTGTATCTCTTGAGCATTGGGTGTCCCATACCAAGTACCCCTAATTGTGAAGCTGGTGCTGCTTGTCTTTCATAGTTGCAGCCACCTCAATCTTCTAGCATCCCTAACTTCCTTCTGCCTACCAGGATGCTGTGCAAGGCTTACCACATGACATCCTCATAAGGTGGAGTCCAGCTCTGTGGTCAGACTGCCTGTGCACCATGCCCACCATAACCACTACAAAGCTCTTGAGGAAGTCAGGTGACCTCTCTGGGCCTCAGTTTCCTCATGGCTAAATGGTGGTACCCACATGAAACGCTTAATACAGTGCACAACAAAAGCTAAGCCCTGGATAGCTGTTAGCTGCTATCTTTCACTCTCAGATCTGGAAGAAACCATGGGGGAATCTTGACTCCGTCTCTCACAGCAACAACAATCCTTTCTTCCTTGGGCATATCTGTGAATCCCTGCTAAGGGGGCTGCTTAATGCCTTAGGGCAGCAGCTCTCCTTCCTGGATGCGTGTGAGAATCACCTGGTGGTTAAGCAGCACCAACGCCTGGTCGCCACTCTAAACCAAGTTACTCAGAATCTCTGGGGTGGGTGCTGGGCATCAGTCAATATTGGAACTCCTCATGTGATTACATCTGCAGCCAGGGTTAGGAATCACGGTTTATGGCAACAAAAACTTCCTCTGGAATCCTCCCCTCTGTACAGAGCCACAGACCTCCAGGGGCCTGCAAGCAAGAAATGTGTCAGCCATGTATAAAAATCAACGCCAATTCCTGGCTTGCATTTATTTTAATACAAAAATCTTGTATATGATTAACTATCAAGCGCTGCTAATGATGTGCACAGGTATGCTACGTGTCTCCTGGGACTCACCTATGCCCGAGCACATCGCCTGGTTTCCCAATTTTGAGGACCTCTTACTTATTTCAATAAATTTTAAGACTTTTTATTGACAAACACACACACAATACACAGAATTATACAGCTCAATGAATTTTCACAAACTGAACACACTCATGTTACCAGCACCCTGATTTTAAAAAAAAAAAAAAAAAAGGAAGTGTCACCAGCACCTTCCTGCTGCTTTCTAGACACACTCCCCCTTATTGCAAGGACAACTCCTCTCCTGACACACTGCAGATTAGCCTAGCAAATACTGTCAGTTTTCCCAAGTGCCTGATTGAGCCAATTTACATTTCCACCAGCAGCATTTAAGAGTTCTAGTTGTTCTCCGGGGGCGCGGTGGCTCACACCTGCAATCCCAGCACTTTGGGAGCCCAAGGCAGGTGAATCATGAGGTCAAGAGATCGAGACCATCCTAGCTAACATGGTGAAACCCTGTCTCTACTAAAAATACAAACAATTAGCCAAGTGTGGTCGCACACCCCTGTAGTCCCAGTACTTAGGAGGCTGAGGAAGGAGAATCGCTTGAACCCGGGAGGCGGAAGTTCTGGTGAGCTGAGACTGCGCCATTGCACTCCAGCCTGGGTGACAGAGAAAAATTCTGTCACAAAACAAACAAACAGCAACAACAACAACAACAACAAAAGCAAGAAAAAGAGTTCCAGTTGTTCTATAGTCTCACTAACACTTGGTATTTTTCATGTTACTTTTAATAGAGTAGTCAGTCCCACCTTCTCCATGATTTCCTTTTCCATAGTTTGTTACTTGTAGTCAAGCAAGGTCTGAGCATATTAAATAGAAAATTGCAGAAATAAACAATTCATGTTTTAAACTGCACACTGTTCTTTCCTTCTGTCCAGTGGGTCCGTGCCATATGTGCTGCCTAACAGTCACTTACAGGACCAACAGCTGCAGTATCACCAGTGCTCTGCTGTGTGTGCCTGTGTTCATGGGACTCTTACTTTACTTAATAATGTCCCCAAAGTGCAAAAGTAGAGATGCTGGCATATTGTTATAATTGTTTCATTTTATTATTGGTTATTAATTTCTTATTTTGCCTAAACTAGAATGAAACTTTGTAATAGCAATGTATGTATAGAGAAAACATGGAATACATAGGTTTTGGTACTCCCTGAGGTTTCAGGTATCTACTGGGCATCTTGGAATGCATCTCCTGTGGATAAGGGGGAATTACTGTAGCTTGAGATGCTTGGATGTAATGTCTGACTATTTCATAAATGCCTGAGTTTAAAGAAGATTCATGAAGATGGAAGCCTGCTACACCCAAAGTGCTGAATTTTGTGTGGCAGAAGGACAGATAATGGAATAAATATATTGGTCAGATGTTGGTTCTGAGTATGGGGGCCACTGATGATACTTACTCTGTTCCTGGAACTAGAAACTGGGGAGATCCTCCCCGCCATAATCTAATCTGGGCATTGGCTCCACTTGTGGCCCTGACTAGTCCACGTCACTCACAAAGGGGTGATTCTTCAAACTGTTGTTTAAAAAATAAACCATAACAAAAAAAGGCCAATCAACCCACCCACCCAACTAGGCTATCTTCTCCATGGCTGCCCGCCAGGGATGGGTAAAGGAATCCACAGCGTAGCCTCTCAGTAGTGCTTTCCTCTCACAGCACCAAAACACTTCTGATTAATGGTCAAACAGGTTCTTAGGAATTACATTTCCGTGTAATTTTCATTATAAATAAACTTAATTGCCCAATGTCTTAACTATTTTAAGGACCAGTATGCAAATAAGTATACCCTTAAAAAGAAAAACTGGAAAAATCCAGCAACTGCTTTGAAAGAAGCTGTAAGATTTGAACTCAAGCGTTTTCTGAAAAGCTGGACTCAGAGCCGAAACTAATGCATTCTGCTAGCACTAAACAATGCACATTTGCTTTGGAAAAATCATTTTTTAAACTACTGAATTTCCGAACATAGTCCATTTTCTTCTTAGAGCTAAAGTATAATCTCTGTGCTGTGGCAACTTTTTTTTCTTTTAAAATCCTCTGTAACAGGAGCTGTGGTTAGTAAAATTTTATATTCTTACTTGAGTTCATGTTCTTTATAGAAAGCAAAACCGTAACCTCTTTGGATTGCTGAACGAATGTCTATGTGCCTAGCTAGTAGGTATGGACTGTTACAACACAAACATTTGAGATAGCACCCCTCAACTTCCCCATTTGGAGGGTTTCACATAAAAACAAGTGAAAACCATTTAGAGAAATGAAAAAACGATTCTGAATGTATTTTAAATTAAACACATACGCCAGCAGATTATCAATCCCTTGTTTTGAAAACCACACCATCTTACAGCGAAGGAGGTAAATTTTCAAGCTATTAGATTGCCATTACTTTTAAAGGCAAAAACTGCAATTACTTTGCACCACTCTAAATAGGTTTTGAAACTAACAAGGAGGAGGAGATGAGAATGATGATGAGGAGGAAAGCAGCAGCCAACATCAGAAAAAGAAATGCCAGTACCTTGGTTCTGCAGGACTGCTGTGGAAAGCAAATGCATTACTATGCATAGATGACACTGCACTGCTCAGCACTGCCCTGAGTAACACAAAGCTGACTTGCGTGGGTACAGGTACAACGCAGAGGGCAAATATTCCACTGGGCCCAGTGGTTCTACATAAATGACAAAGTGAGTGACTTGTTGGGTTGAACTAGTTCCTGCAGATTCAAAATGTGTCTGGGGCTGTGACAGGGTAAGAACACTGCATGTGTTCTCTGGAGTGGCAAGTCACCGAGCCTCTTTGGCTGGCTGTGCCCAAACTCACACTTAGGAAATGTTCTACGGCCAATTCCACTCCGGAACTCTCAGGCTGCCACAGTTGTGTTAAGTTTTAGTTTGATAGCCCATGTGTCATGAAGTCAAAACCCAGTTAAACTGATCTCTCAGCTGACTGGCAGAGATAGCATTTTAATGATCTTGCTTGTAGATTTTAACACAATTGCATATAAAGCAAAGATAATTGTTTTTCCATTTGTGCTTTTTATTTCATTAAGATAAAAGTGGTTTGAGTCCCTTTTTTAATGAGTTAATAAAGGAAGGGGGCTAACCATTGTGCAGCCCTGGAAGGTGGTCAGCTGTCTGACTTAGTGGCAGTGTTGAGAATGTACTAACACAGCAAGCAATTCAAAAGTTTCCAGGGCAAAGATGTATTTCATTTGTTAATTGATTTTTAAAGGCTTTATCACTAAAACAGAATTGGAGACACTGCATACAATAAACAAAAATAACATTCACTACTGGGCATAATGCCCAGAGAAACCAGCTACACAAACACCATGCTAAAGGAAAAAGATGGTCCCGAAGACAGACCAAAATGGTTCACGATGCAGAGAGCTCAACAGCAAGGGGCTCCAGAGAAGCTTCATACACAGTACTGGGCTCTGGCAGATGTACTGTCAAGGCAGCTAAACCCTCATCACAGCACCTGTGCACAGATTCCTCTGGTTAGTAAACAAAGTTGGTTTTCACGCTTTCTCTATGCTTTGTAATGCAAAAAATTAGGTTGAATTATATCAAATTGCCTTTTTTACTAAGTCAAACAGTTAAATATCAACAATTTCATGCAATTCAACCCAATATAAAATAAGGAGCAGAGCTCATTTCACAAGGTGTTTTTCTTTTCTTTTTCTTTTTTTTTGTCATCATGAAGCTGTTTTTCTGGGCACCTGTAGAAGGGATGAGGTAGGACAGTCTCTTGCCTACTGGATTGGGCCCCACTGACAGTATCTGAGGATCCCTGCCCTGCATCAACAGTGTGGTTAGGGACGTGCCAGGTCCCTGACCACATGCAGTTCTATAAATGTTAGAGAAGGGAAAGAAAAAGGGGGCATCATTCTTCCTTCCTTGTGCGCCAATTATTCTTCCAAATGTTAATCCCTTTTGCTTTTGCCCTCATGGTACTTAGTGTGAAGCAACTTTAACATTGATTTCCCAATGCGTTAACTATTTATAATGGCTAGATGAGAACAAAAATATAGTCCTCCTCCCTCCTCAGTTTGGATGGGGGTAGATGGAAATTATTTTTGAAAAATGAATATTCAGATGTATTTTTCACCATTGTAGGAATATGAGTTAACGCTGTGATGAAAGTAGCTGAATACAACCTGAATATAGAACCCTATCATATTTCAAGATAGAAAGAAATTCCAGGACTTGAGAGGACTTGACAGGGTAGAGAGGAGTATAACCTCAATATTAAATAGGGTTTAAGAAAAGGCACATGAACCATAGGTGGTCTGGTTGTTAAAAATCAGGATTAAGCTCCTGGTCTTAGTTGGTAATAAAAGTGTTAAGTAAATACATGTGGCTAGTTTTATGCCATTTTCCATATAATATCAAATTTATCACATGTTTGAACAGGTGCCAACCAAACACCTCTAAATCCAGACAGAATTTTATAACACACTAATCACACTAAAAATTAAACAGACAATGACATTTTTTAAAAAAGTATTACTTGAGTCTTACTATTTTCCAAGAAAAACAGTTGTTACTCCATTACTTTTAAAAGAATCTATTCTGCAAAATTTCCCAGGCAATTCGATGGAAATAAATATTGGAAAACAGAAGTAGTATTTCTGACATTCAAGTATTTCCATAACTTTAATTTCAGAAGGAAAAAATTCAAAGTAACAAGTATATTTTTACTTCACTGAAAGAAAATACAGCTTTTAAAAAATGTTACTCTTTCCTCTTACCGAAGGGAAAGACTATGAAAACTGGCCAGTGATTTCTTACTCAAAAAGTGACCATACTTTGGGTTTATGAATATATATTGAAAAAAACAAAGTAAATCTGCCTGCAAGTTTAGACATAACAGGAGTTTGGAGGGTCCGTAATTAGCACCTCCCATGGCGGGCTTTCTAGACTCTTAACACAGAAAACCTGGAATGCACATCGCATTCAACAACCTGAGGAGACAGAGAGCTTTTACAGGCAAAAACACATTATGAAGTTCATTAATTAAACAGTGCGGGTGGAGCAGATGGATGCTACCTACGCTTGAATGACGCTAAATTGGGACAGAGGTTTGCAGTCCTTAATGAAGCTCCATAAAATGAATGATTACATAGTGATCACAAGTAAACAAACCTGAGAGAAGAGCTGGATTATAGGGCAACAAGTCCTGCAACATGGTAACGAGAAGACCAACACGCACGGAAGTACCTAGTACACAGAGCACCTTCGACACCATTTAGTCCCATACCAACCCCAGCTGAGGAGAGCTGTACGAGTCTACAAAGAGTTAAACAGGAAATAACAGTCAGCGGGGCAATAATATAAAAATGCCTGGCCATGGAAATGAACAGAGCAGAAACCTTTTCGTCACATAAAATCCATTATTGAGAATGAGACACTCAAGTTTCCTTTTATCTTCACAGAAAAACAGATGCAAAATGTCAGGTACTTGGGCTTTTTAAACTAAAAGGCTTAGCAAAAGCAGCTACCCAGCTAATGTGGGCATTAAGATTATTTTTCAATCATACTTTCCCCCTGTCACTAATTAATTCTTCACTTTTTCAACTATTGTTAAGCCCTTAATTTTAATTAATTTATTTATTTTATAAATTAGCTTGTGATGCACACAAACTTGCTTGTCTGCTCCAAAGATATCTTTTGAACTCATGGGGTAGAATAGAAAATCATTTTGATACTAAAATTTCCTATAAATATATGCTGTTGTCTGGAAGATATTTCAGTAGAATGACCTATTATGTCTTCCAACTTAGACAAGATATAATTTCATTAACAGTAATTGACAACTTTGGAACGAGAATGGCCCGAAGACATGTGGTAGTTACACCTTACAGCAAGCTTTGGAGGTCAGTAGTAGCCAATGGGGATGCCCGGCTTTGCTGCCGCAGCCATGACTCTGGATGCTCTGTATACCTTCAGATGCTCTTATTTTTATCCTCACTCCTGGGCTTTGACTTTCTCTTTCTCATTACACATGACCTTCATGTAAGCTCTTTCAAATCTGTTTTAGAAAGAAGTAGAATATAAATGGATTCCACATATACAAATAGATACCTTGCTAGCAAAAAACTGGAAAAATCACTGTGATGAAACTGTGTCCTCAACTATTTATCAAGGGAAAAGCACACTGAGTAACATCAATTAGGTGCTTATTTTGAGATAGACTCTAAGTGGGCTGTCAGTAAGAATATTTAAACTTATATTTTCTCTGCTTTTTAATTTGGAAGGTACATGTATTCAGGTATGAGATATACACATGGTATCAAAATGGGAATATTTTCCATCCTAACTTACGATAATTCTGTTTTCATCTTTATTCCATACAAACAAGTTTTAAAGGTTAGAATCCATTTGGTAACAACAATGAGAGAACAAGCTAAAATTAATGGGAATTGTTTCACTTTCTCAAAGCTATATAATTTTGATGGTCAAAAGTGTGCACAAGTGAGAAACAGCCATAGTCAGGTTGGTCTGGGCTCTCATCCCAGCCCTGCCCTGGCTGTGGGCCCCAGGCCAAGACCCGGCTTCCTCCAGCTTCACTCTCCCCATCTGTGGGTTAACACAGTCCCATTCTGCAAGGCTGTCACCAAGAGTGAGAATAATGGTCCAAGACTGAGAATAATGGTCCTTCTGGGTGCCTGTGATCAGCCTGTGCTTTTGTACATCACGCACTAATGTCCCCAACTGCCTTTCAGAGCTGAGTTTGCCCTCTGGTCCATTGGCTGATGAGAGAGAATTTTATCAGTTACATGCAGACACTAAGTACTGACCAAGAGTTCAGGCTCAGTAGTGTCTCCACTTCTGTCCTTAGGTCATTATTTGAATACTCCACGGAATTTTACCCTCATTTCATAAAAATGAGTGGTAATAGGATAAAAGGAAGGTATCAGTAGGAGTAACAACAAATATAGGTCTTAAACTCAAGGCAGTGAAAGCGAAACTGGAAATCCTCATAGATGCCAAACGTGGAAAATTTTAAGTTTCTAACAAATTTTTAGCTACACCAAATGCATACCAGGTTATCTCCAATGGCAAAGGGCAAAATTAGAGAGCATGCTGGAAAAATGGCATTGAAACTGCAATATAGAATGTGAAACCTATTTAGAATTTTTATATGTTTTTGTTTCATTTTTAGAGAATAGAATGCCCTTTATAAGTTAGATGCACATCTGAATTAATATCTGTAGATCAGAAAGCAAAAACTTTAGACTTAAACATGAAACTAAATGAAACATCAATTCAGAGTCTCTAGCCTGCTCCCTTACATCTTTTGGTGCTGCAAAAAGTAATCTATTTTTTAAAAAATCTGTATTACCCTCCTAGGTTGAAGTTCCTTTACAAATTCATTCATTTGCCAAATTCTGACTGCAAAAGTGTCATGTGCCAGACTGACTACAAAACACTTACTGATCCATAATTAGTAACTGCCTAATCATTTTATGATGGCAATTCTTGACTGAAATGTTTAAATAAAATGTTCAATAAAAGGTTATTTATAAAAGAATCAATATTTTGATCATGACTTCAAAGGGAGGGCTGATTGTATAAATGCAAACAACTGCCTTATTTTACGACCTAAGGTCTCAGGCTGAATGTCGCGATCTGTTAGCACAACTGACTCAAGGTTGAGAAAGGACATTCTTTCAGAAAATCCCATGTATTTATTTTCTAGTTTGAAAAATGGCCATTTTAATATAAATTTATAATCTAAATTTGTGTTGCAGGAATTTGGTTGTTGAAATGGGCTTTGTATTTAGTATTCTAGAAGAGACTGCAAAATCATGTTCCATAAAAGGATCAACATTCTCTTATAGCTTTAAAATGCGATGTGAGGAGCTCAAAATGCTCTGCACCTGAACTGATAAGAATATTAGGCAACAGTTTCTATGAAACTTTTAAAAGAGAAAGTTAACTTTTAATAAACAGTTTCAAGTGCTAAACTAATATAGTGCCTTCTGACCGATTTTCTAACAGCTTTTAAAATAAACCTCCCAAACTGCTTAGACTCTTCAAATGTGAAAAAGAAACTGAAAGATAAAGCTTAAAAATTCCCCATTTATGGAGGAAGTAAATTTAAGATAAATTTAATCCAGAGTAAAGCAAGTCATTTCATATGCTTTCAGTAAGTATAACAATTTTATATAGCGACCCAAAAGTCACCCTTCTAGAGCTTTGCAACTCAAGACTTTTTAGCTGGAGGGGTTAAAAGTGTGGGTGTGGAAGTCAGCTTTTGTTTGAAAAATTAGCAATGCTATGAGTCATCGTGCATTAGCTGCAGAAGAGTTTTGCATCTTGTACGAATCCAGACACCATATGCCATGCGAAGGCCTATTACTTTATTCGGTGCCACCGCTGACAGGCAGCCACGTGGGTATCCCCAGCGGAAGGGCTGTCTCCTTCGGGCGGCGAGGACAGGAACCCAGTGAGCTGAACACATCCGACATTGTACTGAGCAGCAGGAACAGCTGGTGAGCTAGCGAGCAGCAACGGCCCAGCGAGGAGCGTGGATGCTAATGAGCCGGCGACAATGCCGGCCTTCAGAGGGGCTAGTGCAATGTCGGCGGCCGGGGTGTTCCCACAACAGCCTCAAGAGTAGAATCTGCTCGTTCATGCCTTCAGTCTCATTAAAACATGATACTGGCATTTGTGGCTTATCAAAATCAGCTGTAAATCACAAGTTATAAATCCGGCCAACCGATCCAACACACTTTAAAAAGTTGCACTGAAATGCATGTAAAATTCCACAGGCATCTTTGGGTCCTGATGGGGAGGTGCTGACCAGGCACTTGGGCGGTGGGGAGCAATGAGTTGACAGTTCAGGTCCTGGATACTACTCACAAACTGTGTGGCCTCAGGCAAGTTATTTAACTTCTCTGGGCTTCTGTTCCCTCAACTGTATTTTTTAGTTTGTGACATCGTAGATTGTGTTGTATTAGACATCGCATTGTGTTTGCATAACATACTAAAATAGGATCATAATTATGCCTTCCTGATAGGATTGCTTAATAACTACATAAAATATGTGAGGTTCTCAGTGACTGGGACAGGGCAAAGAATGGTGCAGCTAGGTAAACAGATGTCTCTCCAAGTGACCCAGGAGTAGAGCTCCAAGCAGCTTCTCCTCCCAGTCTTGTACTTCTCACACACCATAAGACAGCAGCACATCTCCTTATGAGCGACACTGAGACGAGACACCGATGAGAAGTGGAGTTAGGGAGTGATGTGTACACATCTGTGTGCTGTGGAACCCAGGTCTGATCATTGCAGGGTGGGTTTGGGCTCCTAGCAGCATCTAAGGCTCCAAGATCACTAAGTTTCTCGATGGCTCCAGGTTTAGCAAACACTCTTCTGCTGAAAGTCATTTACTTTTTCTGAACCCTCCTTCCATCAAGTCCCTGTGACTCCTATTCTCCCTCCAAATGGCCAGGTCACAGGCTCTCCGTGGGACGCCTTCCTTGAGGTTCTGGGCTGCACTCTGCATCACAGTCATGAGGAAACTGTGCACTGCTCTCTTCCCCAGTGTGCTCTGTATTCGACAAAGAGCGCCTCCAGGGTGGGCACTGTGCTTTCCATTTGTGCACCCACAGCAAGAGCACAGTGCCTGGCATACAGGAAACAGCCAATGGGCATTCTGTTGAATGAATGAGTATACTAATGAAAAATGCTTTTGGACTTTTCAGAATTGGTGTCTGGGAATATGAATGAGACTATCAGAATCTGTGGATCATTTTTTTGCCTAGATTTTTTTTTTAAGCCCTAAGTAGAAGACACTTTACTGAGTGATCATCTCCAGCAACAAATGCACGTTGCACCTCTATTTCATAGGGCAGGATGTGTATAAATATGAGAGAGAACTGCCTGGTTCTTGCAGAAAAACTGGTTTCTCAGAAGTTTTCCTGTGAGCTAAGCTCAACTTAAGGGGTTCTCCGAAGGTGACAACTGTACTGTGAAAAACAGAAAGGATACAGTGGCCTGTGAGGTACAGATCAGCTAAAGTGGCCTTAAAGGTGAGATGATCAGCAGAGTTTAAAAGGCCACAGAGCTTGAAATAAAGATTACATACCATGAGAGACCTTTGGGTAAAATACAGTGTCCTTCACTGATTTGTTCGAGCATGTCTGAATTTGAACACCAGTCCTCTGTGACTGGCACGCAGCTGCTGAGGCTCTCGCACACAGCAAGCATTACACCCACGGCTCTACTGGCCACTGCTGCCTGCTCCTTGTAGGACCCGCACATGACAGTGGCCAGAAACCCTGGTTCGAACTTGTCTCCCACATATTTGCTTTTTTTAGATCAGCCCTTAACTTTATATTGTATCCTGAAGTCCACAGATAAAATCAAGATAACTAGATATGGAAATGGAATGAGGATTGGAAGGCCAGGTAAATAACTGGAAGGGGCTTTTCCTGACTCCCCACTCTGCCTTCTGAGGATGCCACAGGAGTAGTTCCAAAGCTAATCCCTAGGCAAAAGCTCCTTTGGCCCCAGTGGTCCCGAAAAGCAGATCTTCACTCTCCAGCCTCTCACTTGGTCACAGCCATTCAAAGACGGGAGTGACATCCAATGCTCATTGTCTTCCAATGATGTTTTGTAGGAAAGTACATGCTAGAGTAAGAATGCTCTTCAGTTACTGGGATTTCAAATACATATATTTTTAAAGTTTTAATGTTTTAAAAATACCCAGACTAGAAATAATCACAGCACAAAGCACAAGAATAGACAAAACCGCGTAGATATGTAGTGACACAGTGATGGTCAGGAGCAGCAGCACACAGGGAAGGCTGGTATACAGTCTGAGAAGAGAATGAATATCTGTCTGTAATTCACACATGCATACACAAACACACACACATGTCCATTTCCCTGAATCAAGTTTCAGAGGAATGGTGATCCATGGCAGAGATGATTAAAAGCACATATTACAAATGGAATGTGTCCCTAGGAAGGATGCTATGATCTAAGCCCCAGAGCTGCTGCCTCCACAGTCCCGTGTAATGCCACCTAAGTGCTCTGCTTTGCATGACTTGCTGCAGGCTGCCACGGATTAGAGCTATCGATCGCTGACTGCAGAAGGGTCTCACTGTGCGAAAGGAAGGTGAGCGCTAGAGACAGACAGCTCAAGTATTGATCTGCTCTGGCAGAAGGCCGTGGTTCCAAATGCGGGGTGGTACTCCTACACATCACCCATGAGTTACTATAATGTACATGGAGACATTGAAGAGCTGGAGGTTCGGGCCAAAGGCTGGCGTGTCACCGCCATCTCCTCTCCTGTCAGCTGGTCATGAGACCCAAGGATGCCATGTGAAATCTTCAGCTTTTTAAAAAGCACATGCAACACAATGTAGGATGGGCATTCCTACGGTCCTCTAAGTCAGGAAGGACAAACCATTGCCACAGAGGGCTGCCAAGGGTCACGTTAAGAAGCTGTCAGGGCAATGTGGAGGCATCTTTAAGAATGTTCCTCCAGCATTTGAGAGGGTCACCAGAGCCATCAGGCCAGCTCTTACCATAAAAGACAAAATCCTTTTCCCCCCTAAAAGTTGACACCTCCCCCCACTTAAAGCAAAACATTAAAAAATTGGCCCAAACTGACATTCTCCTTAAGGAAATCTCAATGATACAATTTATATAGGTTTTCAGAAGATTTTGAGGCGACAACTTCCATGGCACAAAGACATAAACTCATCTAAAGGGTCAAACATAATTATGAGATACATCAAGACTCATGATTTTTGAAAGCAACATAAAATTAGGATTCATGAGACCAGGTAAAAGTGAAAATAAGGAGCCCAAAGAAATCAAGTACAGCAGGAACGAAATGCACCCTTTAAACACTTGCTTCTGTGGACATGGAGCAGAGTGAACTCCACTGCTTTTATGATTTAACTCTCTGGATTAAGAAGTCATTATTAAACTCAGTCATCTCTTTAGTATCCACGTTAAGTCATTTCCTCCTGCGTACATTGTGAAGACATCTTGTGGTGTAATTACATAAATGGCACTAGAGACTACTTTCCCCTAATTAGAAATTCCTTAAAATGTTTGCATTTCTGATTTTAATCCAACTAACATCTACTGACTTGTTGTGATGTTAGATGCTGGAGACTGAAAGATGAGTAACACATAGCCTTTGCCTTTAAGGAGCTTACTGACCAGCGGAGGGACAGACGCCTCAGAGTGAGCCCCTAACCCAGTGTGGTCAGTGCTACACCAGCTGTGGAAGACAGAGAGAAAGGTCCGCTGGCCTGCTGGCCCTCCTTTGGACAGGCAGGCTGCTGCTTACCTCACGACAGGCTCACTTTCCTCCCTTGAATCTAGGCTGACTTCATGACCTGTTGTGACCAAATAGTTCTGAGGCTTCCAAAGTGATTTTGTGAAGAAGCTGGCACCTCCACCTGGGTCTCTGGGGCCTGCAGCAGACATGTCAAAAACCTTACTGCTGCGAGAAGACCCAAGCTAGACAAGTGGGGAGGCTGCTGAGCCACGGATGCCTGGCCAGCTCCAAACTATTCTAGCCGTGTTAGTGCAGGTCCCAGACATGAGAGAGCCTGAGTAAGAACCACCCAGCTAAGCCTAGTCAACCCACAGAAGCATGGAAGATCCTCTTTCTACCATTTCGCCTTTAAAAATCTCTGCAAAAGTCTTTTAAAGCCTTTTTTTTTTCAGACAATATGTCTAGGTATGTTACGCTGCTCAGGCTACAGTGTAGAGGCTATTCACAGGAACAATCATGTTGCACTACAGCCGAAACTCCTGGACTCAAGTGATCCTCCCACCTCCTCTGTAGCTGGAACTTGCAACACCACGTCCAGCTCTTGCAAAAATCATTATGCTTAATTTTTCAAGTTTGCAGACTCTCATGTGAGAAGACTATGTTAGGAATTCTATTAATATTTCCCTTTTTATCTCAAACAATAAACAAACTCAATTAAGTTTTACTGAAATTTAACGCATGGCCTTATGCTGATACCCTTCTTGCCAGGTCATCTATCAGACTGTCCCAGGTCACGTTCAATGCGTGAACTGTACTAAGAAAGAGAAGGAGAGGGCGGGAGGGGCTGACAGTAGAGCCCGCGTTCGCTTTCAGCACAGGTTGAGGTACCATGGTTTACGTGAGCCTCCATACTGAAGGGTTGAGCTTTATTATCTTATAAATCATACCATCTTTACAATTCACTGTCCTGAGGCAGGGCATGACCATGGAAATCTTTTGTAGCACACACAAGTTTGCCATTTATCTCACAGGAAAGATCTTATTCAAGCTGAAAGTTGAACATAAAGATGAGTTACTCATTTTTCTTTTTTATGGAAAGATAAATGTTCTAAATTTGGTGACCTTTTCTGTGATGACAAGGCGCTGAAGTCATTCATTTGGCATGTACTTACTGAAAAAATATTTACTCTGCAGCAGGTGCTGAGGCTATATCCAGGGTTGGTATTCACCTGGAAAACACCCACATGGCTGGCATCTGGGTCAGTATCCAACAGGTGCCCTCATGTACCAATTGTTAGATATTTCCACTCTCGCCCTTGGAGGCACCAGTGAACAAAACAGACAGAAATCTTTGCCCTCAAGCAGGGGGCACAGCATGAGTAAAATCAGTGAATTACATAGTAACTGAGAGGGTGATGAAGGCTGAGGGGACCCACAGAGCATGGGCAGGTCAGGTGGTGCAGGGAGGTGCAGGTGCACAGGCGTGGGGGCTCTCACACAGGGAGGTAGGGAGAGGGGCCAAGGGAACATGCCGTGTGGGCATCTGGGGGGCAGTTAAGGAAGGGGGCATGGAGGGCACAGGCCTCCCCTGAGGGCCTGGATGCTGAGAGAGGCAGGGCTCCTGGTGAGGGTGAGCTGGGCAGTGATGTGGCTGACTCACACTTTAGTCACTGGCCCTGGCTGCTGTGCTGAGGAGCCTGAGGAGGAGGCCACAGTGAGCAGTGTACCCTTAGCTGTCCCCTTAGGAAGATAGATACATACTGCTCCCACAAAGCAAAATGAGAGCTCTGAAACTGAGTGAGTAACTGCTATTTGAAAGAAACATGCTATAAAAAGAAGGCCTTGAATTGAGATGTTACAAAATGTTGCCTTCAGCATAGGAATTTATGGTTGAAGATGGTTTCTGTTTTCAGAAAGTACTAATATCTCTAGCACCAAAACACTCATAAACAGAATTTTGTTATTTTCTAACCTTCCAAATAAGATTTGAGTACATTTTGAATCTGTTTGTCAAAAAAAATGCCAATACAACAACTGATCACATATCAAGGAAGACAGAAATGTCCTTCCCAATGCCAACAAGAACCTTCATAGAACTGGTGGGTAAGAATGAAAACTGAGCATGAACCTGTGATTTAGGAGGTCAAGACAACAGTCTGCTCCAGCTAGTTTGTGTATCTTTGCAAAGTTTTGTTTCCAGCTATGAAACCAAGTTATCAAAATAAACTGAGCTTAGATGGACCCCTTAGGACCACTGAACCCCAGAACCATTACACTGAGATTATAAAGAGAAAGCAGCACATTTTAATTCCATTGCTCTCACTAAAACGCTATTGATATCTTAATAAAAGCAAAACGATTTATACCATTAAAATTAAAAGACTTCAAATTATGATTTCCTCTTTATCGCATCCTTTAAAAATTCTCAGTATTGACCATGCATTATAATGTCATAATGTATTAGTAAAGAAGAAATGGTATATACTTTAAAATAAGTCAGTACATGCACTATTGAATGGCATGCTTAACAGGTTTTTCTGCCTTTTTTTGGTGGTCTTTGGGTGGGATATGTAATAAGAAAAAGTCTGCAGGCTTCTAAGGTAGGTAGTGGGTTGAAGACAGGTGTCCTCACCCACTGAAGTGGGGACTGCAACAATCTGGCCTCCTTCCCCTCCTCTGGAATGGAATGAGGAGCGGTGACCACAGAGCCATAAGAGCATGCTGCTCACCAAGAGCCTTGCTCCCTGAAAAAAAATGCCTTAGCACCTTGGAATGGGCCACGGACACTGTTTAATAAATTATAATTGGCATATAAATATCTTTTTGTAAAACAAATTAACAAAGTTGTGACATTTCCCGCCTATCAAGTTGTAGATAACACACATATGAAGAGATAACTAATGAGAGGTCACAAAAATATGTGAATGATTTGAAGCAGCAGCTAGAAATAATCTTTTCCCTTCGAGCTCCCATGACCTCTGATTCTCTCTTCTGTATCTTGTGTTTCAGTGACTCAGAAAATACTCACTGGGCACTGACCACATGCCTCTCCCAGAGCATGGGCCTCATCCTACCCTACGTCACAGTTGTAATCCATCCTGGCCTCAAAGCCCGCTGAAGGCAAGGTCACTCCCTCTCCTGCCACAGTGCTTGCCACAGCCATATGGAGGTTGGCAGCAGGAGCAGGAAGAACACGGAAGCATGGCTACCCTGATTTACCGGGGCACATGTGGCAGGGTCTGGGGGCCCCGAAATGCTCTCCTAGTAGGAGCTGGGAGAAGAGAGGGCCCAGGCCCTCCTCTACACCGCTGCATCCATCAGCTCATCCGTTCATTCATTCTTCAGTCTCATATTTATGCCTACTTCATTCCATATATCCTTACAGTAATGTATCTGGGAGAAATTATTTTGCTCATTTTACAGTAAGCAAACTAACAGAAGTAAAGTATTCAAAGCCAAAAAAAAAATGAAGTCATTATTTAATTTAAACAAACATTAGAACCCAAGGTCTCTCTGAGGTCAGCTATGATATGTTACCTGCTAAGCTGGGCACAACAACAAACAAGACACACTTTAAAATTTATCTGGCGCTTGTAGGAAAATTGTTGCCATGAAGGAAAGAGAATATCCCCAAACTCTCTTGTGTGAGAACTCTTCTCAGTGGGAACCAAGATTTAAGGATCTGGCATTATGGTGTCAGTTATGTGGCCCAACGTGAGATGTGGAAAAAGGTTTACATTGCATTGTGTTTCCTCTAAATTAGAAAACAAACAAAATATGTTTGCTATCCTACTAAGTTATTGTCAGGGACATTTTAGTTAAACAATGGCCCACATAACAAACCCACGGAGTAAACAGGCGGTTCAGCTCTTCAGCTCTGACAGCACACAGCCGCTCTGGAACTCCAGAGCGTGGCCAACCTGCTACCTCATTTAATCTTGATGACCTCAAAAGTGCTCAGCGGGCAAATTAATCCAGAGAAAAGGAGTGTGGAATCAGAGTCTAGAAATTTATGTCAGAGAAAGCCAATACAAGTTAAAAGGAAAGCACATCTCATCTTAATCTGAGCTGAAACTCAGACTTAGAAAAGGCTAAAATTCTACAAAAATATGGAGTGGTTTACGTGAAGTGCTTTCCTTAGTCAAACTTTCTGTACAAATTATATGCATTTAACAAAATTATAGAGCATAAGTACAAAACTAATCTGTTTCTTTTCATTCAAATAATTTAGATGCTGCTTTCTGATTTAGTCTTCTGATGTGCATATGTCATTATAAACAAAGAATGTTTATGCTGTTAGAGAGGCATACGTTCTGTTTTTCTAAATCAATGAGTAGACAGTATTTCTGAGACATTCTAAAGAGGCTCTTCTTTTTATAGGGGTTACAAATTCTATGAAAATATTCCTTAAATTTAAAACTAACTTATATTTTCCCTAATATTCTTATTAAAATTGGTTTCTTTGGAGTATAAATTCAATTTAACTAAGTTCAATTCTTTTAATTTCAAATATGGGAGGAAAACACATATTACAGCTAAGCTGAACTCTCAGCAAGCAAATGTAATGTGATGACAGTTGCCATCTTCTGGGAGGAAGCTATGGCTCTTGGATGTTAAAGGCAGCGCATGATAGCAAGCAGCAGCTCTCTTCATCAGCTCTATGCCTTCTTTAAATTCCACTGAGGATGGCAGTTTGGATGGAGACCCCAAAATCTATTCTGTCCATCTGTTTTATTATTCTTAGAACAACTGTCAAAAGTTGCCCAGGGATCACGTTGCAAACATACTAATTTGCCTTTGAAAAGTAGGCCCTGGGGGAATTCTGGAACTCTGCTTATAAATTCAGAATCCCATCAGCCAGCAAGCCTGCCCTACCCTTTGTGGAGGTATGAGACTTTGCACTTCCAGGCATACATCTGCCTCAAAGCCGGGATGCACTGATATACTCACATCCCACTTCATAGGCAAATGAAGGGAGAACCAAAGGGACTTGGCATCTTAAGGGCTGGCTTGTTCCATGACAAGCAGACCCTGAGTTTTCAGGAGGCAGCCTCTTCATTGATGTTGGTGGATTAAGGACCAAAGCTTTGTGCTGGAGAGTTTAAACAAGTGGACAAGGCAGAGGGATGACATATTCTGTACTCTTTTATATTCTAGGACCAAATAGTAAAATTGAAGACTGAAATAAAGCATTAGAAAAAATAAGCTAAAGAAAGATATAAAACATAAACCACTAAACATTGTAGCATTTCATTTTTGTGATTCTGATGAAAAGAGTTATAAAAAGACCATCTGAACACACAGAATATCAGATGCAGGTTTTCTAAGGAATACTGAGAAACCTCCCAAGAGCTGGATATTTAAAATATTGTAGCATTTTGGGGACATGCTATCCTCTTGGAAACTAAAGCAGCTGTGCACCTCTCAAGTTGAATATATTAAAGGCATGTGCAAAACACGATGCAAACATTAAAGTGCATCTGGACTCCCCAGTGGCTGGCACACGGGACACCATGGGACATCACGGAGCAGAGAAGGGAGCGAGCACCAGCATGGAACCCCGCAGCATCCTTCCTTCCCTACCGTGGCCCTGTTGTCTCTGTCGAAGGCTTTCAAAGCACAGGGCCTCAGAACTGTATGTGAAGCACAAAATTCGAAGTGCCCCTTTTAGAGTCTGGTAAAATCCCTCAGTAGCAAAATAGAAAGGATACCCTTTCAAGCCTAACACGATGGCATTTGGGTTGTATTCACCCCCAGATTACCAAAAAAGTATTCTGCTTTGATTAAAAATGTACTTGAGTGTGTTGCAAATTACTCCAGCACGGAAGCCTGCTGTGAGCTCACTGCATACGCCAGGGCAGACTCTGCACAGAAGGGACCACCATTTGGACTTGCCTGCTTTGTCCTTCTTTGGCTTTGCCGCGCCTCTTATTCTAATAAGCCACGTATTATCCTTTTCAGACATTTGAATAACAGAAAGTCTCACTTTCAAAATATTGCTTATAATCCTAGAGTCCACTAAATGTTCTCCGGATGCTGTTTATGGCATTCTGTTCCTTTCAAAATGGGACTGATAATCAGTAAACTGAAATTTGATTAATGTTGGATTAAGAGGTTCTGATGTCTCACTGCAATGTGTTATTTCAGTCTGTGGGCACGAGAAGAGATTGTCTTTTAGAAACTTGTTTCCTTCCCTTTCCAGAGTAGTAAGATGGGCTTAAAACCCTGATTTACTTTTTTTTTTAAGAATTAGGTAGTCAGCAGTTTATAATGTAGGACTCAGTTTTGTTTTGTTTTTTTCCTCACTATTTTTTGTTTGTTCTCACTTTGAGGCTGGGGCCAATGAATTAACTATTTAAGAGAAAACAAAATAAACCTGAAATAAAAGTCTTCCTCCAAAAATGCCGAGGGTGGGCCTTCCTGGCTGCGTTGCAGTGATCTGGCACGGATAAACAATTCAGACAGCTTTGGATTCACCAGGCTTTGTACCACTTCTGATAATATTAAGAACTCCTCTGAAAAAAAAGGACCTGTCTGATGTAAGTATCGAAGCCGATGAAAATGACTGGATAACATTTACAGGAAGAATTAATACATGTATACTACTTTATGCTTTTTTAAAGTTAAGGTTTTATTAGCATTCATTAGGGTTATAAAAAGTCCTATAATGCCCAGATTTTTTTTTCTATGCTTCATAGCCAGAAGACTCCATGTTTCTTCCTTGCCTATGTTTTAACATTCATAATCTTGTTTGCCTACTGCTGAAAAGTGTGGAAGAATCAGGAGTAGCTGTGTCATTCCCAAAGTAACCATCTGAATGCTAAAGAAATACTGTCATTTACAGAATGACCTTTTGCTCTTTGAATACTCAGACATTAATAAATGATAAATGCTCAGCAAACCTAGCAGCACTATGAAAAAGGTAAATTGGGTCAGCAAATACCTCTTGCATGCTTTTGATATGACCATTTCCACTTTTCTAACAGCTTTCTAATAGCAAAAATGTATTTGGGAACAACAGTGGAATTTGTGTCATCATGACCAAATGATTACGGTGCAAACCCTAGATTCTTCTGGGGCCCAGCAGGCTTCTGGTCCCTATGGAAACGAAACCTCAGATATTGTCCTCCACTCAGCTGGAGGACCAAGCGCCAGGAGGCTTTTGTGCTTGGTGAGATTTCTTCCACAACCTTCCCGCAACAGACCCTAGTGCTTCCTCCAGACTCTTTTCTAATTGAGATGCAAATTAATCTATCTGGCTGATTACACTTCCCTTAAAGCTACTGACAAATGCAGCTGTAACCAGAGTTTGCGGACTTTCCAACAAGTGACTTCAGCTGTCAGTATTTGCATGGGCAGCCAAGGCCCGCCCGCTCCAAGTCTCAGAGCCGCGGAAGAGCTTCCTTTAGGCATTACAAGCCCGTTTTATTTATGTGTATAAAATTTACATACAATTAAGAGTTTTTTAAAAACCCCACAACTAGGTCCTAGGATTTATAAATGGACTCTGACACTGAAATTAAGGCCTTTTCAGACACTTCTTTCTGACCCAGGTCTAGAGAGTCACTCACTCCTTTCTCATGAGGCCAAGGTTCTGATGGTACATGACATCCCCTCCCACTTCCTTCTTGTCTGCAAGGTTTCTGACTTCAACAATGTTTGAATTAAATCTCTCTCTCAGAAACGAACTAAATAAACTTATGGCTCTTAAGAAAATGGGATCACTTCCTGTACAGTGATCTCAATAAGATTCCGTTAATTTCAAATCAAACATAAAGTTATCATTCTAATGGTCAAGATTCCCATATAAATGCCCTTCAATACTTTGGGGTGATAATGTTAGAATGATTATTTAGAGCACAATAAAAATATGCACAAAACACTATTCTTCAGTAAGGAGAAAAAAACACAAAATCCAATTTTTCAGTAAAAATTTTTTGTTTCCTCTTGAATACTATGTATTTTTGAGTTCCTACTATGTGCCAGGTGCTATTTGACATGTTCAGTATCCAGATGTAAACTAAACATTCAAAAATGGAAAAGAGGGAGTTAATGTGTGTGTATATATATATATATATATATATATGCATACATATTCTATTCATAGGGCTATATTTCACCTTGGGCAATTAAGGTTTTCAATTTTGAAAAAATGTCATTTTATAAAACATGATATACTTTTGTTTTCCAAAACGTTTCTTACCAAGTTCTTACTCTCCAGCTCCTTCCCTCCCCTGCCAAGCCTTCACACATACACACTCATAATATACTGGGGGACAGCAGCAGAGTGGAAACAAGGCCTCCACTGGGAAAGCCAGCACTGCTGCAGGAGTGCCTCATCTGAGATAGACGAGGACAGAGGCCCAGGCTGGCAAGGAGTGAGTCAGAGGGGAGACAGCTGTGGGAGGGTGAGAGGTCCTTGGCACAGGAGGGCCTCAAGGGCCGTGTGCAGGGTGGGGTATAGCAGAGTGGCTAAGGGGGGACTCCCAGGGTAGGGGTCATCCCGGTGAGAAGCAGCATGCGCTCCCTTTGATAGCTGACAGTGAGAGGCAGTGACCCACTGAGGATGGAGCTGAGAGACGGAAGGAGAGGAAGGAAGGATAAGGCTGTTCTTGGTATTTCCCTAGGCGGAGCATCAGCCTGGTTTCTACACAGGCTGTGAGGCTGAGAATAACTTCTCCCGAAGGGATGATTTTTTTTCCCTAACAGTGAGAAGTCACTCTGCAGCAAAAATAGCAAAGTGTACCACCTTCTCTCCAGATTTCTTCTGTACCTTCGCACTTCTCACAGGCCTTATTTCCATGCACCAAGGGTGGAGGGCAGCTCTTACCACAGGGAGCCAGCCTTTCACACAGAAGAGGACCTTCTGCAAGGCACTGAATGAACAGCATTCTATCTGCCTTTATTTTAACACCTACAATGGTAAAAAGGAAATATTTCCTGAGGCCTAACTCCACAGTTAGGTGGTTCCAGTTTTTACAACAGAGGTTTGAAACTCCAGTATTTGCAAGGTCCAGGTTGATAAAATGAGAACAATTGCAGGTAACGCTTGCTGGGCTTTCACCGAGGACCAGGCACTGTTTTACCTGCTTGGCCCATTAGCCCTCTCACCAACTCAGAGAGACCAAATGGTGGGTGCCATGGTGGTGGTGCCTGCACCAGGCCTGAGCACTGGAGAGACACCAGAAGGGACTGAAGTGACCAGGACAGCACACGTTCTGTGGAGAGACTGATCGCTGTCAGTAGAAAGAAGGCCCCGTAGGGTCAGATATTCTGATTCTTCAAGAGAAGTCTAACGTATGGATTTTTTAAAAACGCAGGCTCTCCCAATTTTTCACCATGGCTGACAAACTCAATGTTTAGTTTTGTGTTTTGGTAACGTGAGGAGGACAACTGCAGTTAAAACAAAGCACATCTGTGGGCTGGATTTGGTGTGGAGGCAGCTGGTCCGCCCACTTTGGTTTCTGAACATTTGACTTGACACTGAGATAAAGCTGCTTCCAGGTTGCCTCTGTTCACTGGTGCCAGTTCTGTAGACTGACATCCTCTTTAGAAACCTCTCAGACTCCTGAAACAATTCCTTCTTGGTTTTAACAGCTCCCCATTTGGTTACAATTGTTCTGGATTGGCTCCAGGTTGGCGGAGGTCCCTTTCAAAATGTGGCCCCAGGGCAGCACACCACCTCTGGATGCTCCCTGAGGCTGCAGAAGCCCAGGCCATAGTTCCTGTGACTGGACCTCACATTTCCTATGCTGAGGTCTCCAGAGAATGCTGGTGTGGCTGGCTGTTGCATCACTCTCATGTCTCTTCTCCACTCTGTGGCCAAACAAAATCCTCAGACATGGTTCACGATGACTGTTATCAAACCACATCACCCTCACCCTGCACTCAGGCTGCTGACTATCCAAAGCCCAGTACATAACATTACATTCTACCCTCTTAAACCTCTCGCTGGCTTGGGCCTGGAAGTCTCTCATTTGTTGAGATAATCATAATGTGTGACTTTGCTTTGTGTCAAATTAGTTAACCCTCTCAGCTTTCTTACAAATGATGGCTTGATAAATATAGACCTTTGTGAAAGTTACTGAAAAAACGGTTGAATGGAAGAGGGGTTAGGCAAAGCTGTGGCATCGAAACCACACCAGAGACATAAAGCTCCCCACTGACTGGTGCCCATGAATTAACGCATTTTAGATTTGGCCACAATGAAATCACCCAGCTCTCAAGGGCCTATATTTCTCTCTTACACCTGCCAGATGATAATATTTTATCTTAGAGTTTACCAAAATCAAGATGTATATGCTTCCTCTAATCTCTGGAAATAGTAATCTTATAAAACACACAGTAAGTATGTTTGGGATACTTGATTCTTCGTCAACATATTCCTTTCTGAAGGCTCACGAGTTATTTAGTAACCTAGTTTAACAATTTTATAAAGAATCCACGCAACATTCTGAAATTCGCCCTTTAATCCTTTTTGAAAACAAAGAAAATATTTTTCTGTTTCCAGTTTTGGGTACATCCTATATTCTACATGATTTCTAAAAAAAATTAGTCCTTGTGGTTCTGAGATCATTTGTTCTACAATCAGATACAAGTGGCCCTGAAGTCTGGAGCTTACTGGCAAGAGTCAGTCTTTTTTTTTTTTTATTGTATTCTTAGTGACTTGAGTTTTAATTCATCCACTAAGGCACTTCTCTGTTCCTTCCCATTTGAAGGAGATGTGATAGAGAAAATGAAGGGTCATCGAGATAATGGCTAACCATGCCCACCTGCTAATTTACAGAGTCAGGAGCTCCTCTTTGAATCTTGACGTGCGTGTTTAAATACGAAAGCGTCGGAGGCCGCAACCTTGTGCAGCTATATGGATTGCTCCTCCATGCCTCTCCTTTTTCTCAGAGGAATAACTTTAAGTTTTTAATAAAAATCCCTTTATTAAAAATCTCTAATTCCTCATTCCCTTTTACAGTCTCCACCCACCCAGGGGAATATGCGATTTCTTCCTCTGAACTTTTTTTTTTTAAGGTGCTTCCCAAGTGTCTCGAGTACAGGTCTACTAGCATTTTTCTCCCATTCTTTTTTTTTTTTTTAACTCCCATTCTTATATAAACTCTAGTAAAAGTTCGTTACTTTTTACAACAACCAAAGGCAAAAATCCATTCTTTCAAATTACTAAGAAATGGATCCAAAACAAAAATAGTGGTGCCTCTTGCCTGCTTCATCTGTCTTGAGAGATGAGATTGTTTGCCAGCCAAGAATTCATCAAACACGTGTCACCCTTGGTTGAATGTACATCGGAGCTGATATCAAGTAGTAGAAATCCCCACTATGCTCTATTTTGCTTTGGGGCTGTTTAGAAATTTGGATTAGAAGAGCATGGCCATCCCTCCCAGCCGGGGTATAACTCCATTCTGGCTGCTACTCTTAAATGCAGCCCCTCTCTCATGGATTTTTCATTCACAGGCACTTGTTGAGCTCACCCAGGAGTGTTTTCTTTGTGGGGCTCCTATTATCTGATACTACGTTGGAGTAATTCAGTTCTAGGTCCTCTTTACCCAATCCTCCAGGTGAAGACTTGATTCTGCTGGAACCAGTCATAGATAAAACCATCCAGTAGGACGTCTCTTTCTTGGCCAGTCTGCTGAAACTAACCCTTCATTTCTCTCTCTTTTCTGTGAAATCATTCTCTCCTCTACCCATGCCTTTCTCTCTCTACCTGCTCCTTTCAAGCCACCTCTTCCAATGGCCCAGAGAGTTCTGTCTGCAATTCTCTTCTCATGCCACTCTCCAGTCCCCCACAAATCTAGTCCACCTCCTTAACCTAGATATCCAATCCATCATCCATCCCCCGCCACTGCCTTTGATGAGACCCCAGCTCTCTCGCAGAACCCTTTCCATGGCCCCTTAAATGCTTCCATCACCTCCATCTTGTTTGTGTTTGTGTCTGTCTGTCTATCCTATACTCTGCCATATGGAAGCAACTGTCATTCTCAAATGTGATAATGTGATGTGATCTTTCAAAGCTTGGTCCATAAACAAACACTGGCCCCTCACTTGGAGTATCTTCACATTTCTATTCCTGGTGGCAAGGAACAAGCCTGGCGCATGGCAGGGGCACTGTAAATGTTGATGGATGCTAACTGGTGCTGCCTGGCAAAATAGAACACATGGTACCATTTGACTTGTTTACTGAAATGTATGGAGATGGATGGAAGAAATTAAAGATCTGTCCAGGAAAAAGAACCAAAGATCCCAATGAGCAAAAAAGAAACAAGGTTGCTACAGCTTTAGGGAGAGGAGTCATTTTTGAAGATGTGTAAATTCACAGCAGAATTGAGCAATGGGATTCAAAGTCATGGATCTAAGAGAGAGATATTCTGGTACTGTCAAACATCTATGTTAACTGAAAATGAAAGTAAATTTTACTTGTGAAAGAATGAGATACAAAATTACTTTTTCTTAGGCAGCCCAGTTCTCTCCATCAAATGCTGATAGTTACCGCGAGTAGAGATGGTGAATGCCATTGAGACTATTGTTCTATTGAAGTGGACGTTTATTTTAAAAAGCCACCATCTGTTTGACTCTGGGTGAACTCCTCCTAATGGGCACACTGCATATTGTGCGGCAACCTTTTCCCTGAAACAAGTTATCTGATGAGGAGAATGAAAGCCCTGGCTCAAAGGGTTGTGGAAACTTCTATCTGACCACGGTTTGATTTTGGAATCTTTAGTTGGCTTGGGAATAGTAAACATAACATGTGGCAAGCTTCCCATTTACAACCCTCTAGGCACAGGAATAGGCTCTCTGATTGCCCATGAGGGATAGAAAAAGCAGATGGCAGGTGAGTTGGCCCTCATCACTCAGAAAGGCAGTGGCCACAGGATGAAGGCTCCACTTGACAGATTTGATTTAGCCCGAGGAGGATATCACAGGAGAACCCAGGAGGGACAAAGAGGCTGGACTGAACGGTTCCTGAGGGTGCTTTCCAATAACACCCCTACTGTGCTTACATTTTTAAAAAATCATATAAGACAATGGTATTTTTCAGTCTTCTATGTGCCTTTGCTGCAGAGTTGCAACTATTTAATCAGCCAAGGGCCCCAAACAAGAACTCCTTTGGTATTGATTCTAATTGCATTTACTTCTCAAAAAAACCCCCAAAGGGCAAATTTGCTCCAGCAATGCTGCCATCATCCGCTTAATCGAAAATGTTGTATTTTCTTAAACAAAGAGGCAAAATCAGTATGTAACTGCCCACATTTCCACTTCTAGTTAAATATTATAAAAACTGAATCCAAACGGACATGGTTTTAAGGCAGTTAAGTAACAGTCGTTAGCTGGGAGAGGACAGAGAGGTAAGAATAACTACTCCAAAGTAATTCAAAGTTGTCATCAGGTTCAATGTTTGGCTACATATGTCTTCTCTCTAAAAGATTTATACAAGGTCTCAACTAAACATGTCCTTTGTCCATAAAGCAGTCATTATGATCCCTAGAAAGTGAGTAACATTTGGATGAAGTGAGCAGTTTGGCAATGTTTTCTACTTAACAAGTATAATCTAAATATCAGAAACAAAGTGAGGATACAGGGCTGCCTATATAAAAGAGTCTGAGTTGACAAAGAAATGCCCTTTCTTTGTTGGCACGCAGCACTGTACGTAGGATCCCAGGGAAACAGGAACAGTGATTCCTTCTCAGAATTTTTTGTCTTGTAAATAAACTTTTATTCTAGGGCTGTTCCCACAACCTGCTTCATTTGGTAACAGATCCTGGTTCATATGCCAATACAATTTCACCAAGGGATATGCTGCCAGGCTTTAAGAAGGGAATCAACTCTAATAAACACCCAGGAATAGAGAACACCACCTTGTACTGGGGTGTTTTGGGACAGGCTGCAGGCAGGGCTTTATGGGCGTATGACCTGAACATCTGCACACGGGAAGTGTGTTCCCTCAATGTTGAGTATTCATGGAAGCTGACTCCCCTGAGGAGTCACCTTCTCCTTCTGATTCGGAACTTGCTTTAAACACAGAAAGAAAGCAGTAGTGCCTCAAGAAACATGAACACCAAGGAACCCTATCATACCCTTTCATAGTTGTGCTACTTCCCTGTATTAGTTGACCACTTACGGTGAAATAAAGATGCAGAAGGAAAGGAAAAAGCATAGCCTCTTTTCCTGTCAACCCATCCTCTCTTGCTAATCAATAAACTGAAATTCTTCTGGTAAGAACAAAATATATACGCATGCGTAAGCCATGAAATATGAATTGCATAATTTTGTCGATTTCATATATAAGCTAAATACTCATATTTGCACATTAAACTGGCATTGCACAATATAAAGAAAAATGGTATGTCTGCAAACATACCACCCCAAATGCACTTGATCTTGTCTGACCTCAGAAGCTAAGCAGGGTTGGGCCCAGCTAGTACTTGGATGGGAGATGAGTGATAAGGTGAAAAATTTAGGGGCTGGGTGCGGTGGCTCACACTTATAATCCGAGCACTTTGGGAGGTCGAGGTAGGCGAATCACTTGAGGCTAGGAGTTTGAGACCAGCCTGGCTAACATGGTGAAACCCCATCTCTACCAAAAATACAAAAAATTAGCAGGTGTGGTGGCGTGTACCTGCAATCCCAGCTACTTGGGAGGAAGAGGCTGGAGAACAGCTTGAACCCGGGAGATGGAGGTTGCGGTGAACTGAGATCATACCACTGCACTCCAGCCTGGGCAACAGAGCAAGACTCTGTCTCAAATAAATAAATAAATAAAAAGATAATGCTAACAATTTAAATTTTTAACATTTCTTTATTTAGAACAACACTACATAGCAAATAAAAAATACCATGACAAGTTGAGAGATTGCAGACAAATGGGAAAACCTCCGTATTTTAGGACCTTTAAAGGCATTCTTTCCTGTTTTTTGAAAAAGGAGCCCTAGACTTTCATTTTGCACCAGGACCCATGGGTTATATAGCCAGCCCTGGTTCTAGGTATACTCAAGGTACTGCTAATCTCCTCAGCCCTTGTGGGGCTTGCACAGGTATGGGGTGGTGGGCCCTACACTCGCTCCCCACTTACTGTACCTGACATCAGGCAGCTGTGGGAGTTTACTCTGGGATGCTGAGATAACATGAGAACTTCCAAGGTGGGCGTGAGCAGAAAGAGTTAGGGAAGCATGGCTTCCTCAGGGATCAACCAGAATACCATCTCTTCTGGAATCTGGCTCTTGGGTCCATCACAGGCACCTGATGGACTTGAACATGCATACAATCCTGGAAAAATGCAAGTTTACACTCATGAGCAATCTGAGTCCTTGAGCCCTCTGTGCGGAATGCCATCCCTGCTCTCTGAGGACTGCTTCTCTTTCATCCCTCCAATTTCAGTCCAAATGCTCTCTCCTCAGAAGTCTTTCCGTGCCCTGAGCCTTCTTTACCCCAATTCTCTATGAATTAATAATTTCTTTATAGAACTTCTCTCAGTTCATATGTTTTTAATCTATGTATGGGTTTTCTGTGTGAAGCATACGAGTACAAACCTGGTTACCTTTCTCCCTGCCATAGCCTCAGCTCTTAGCACTGGACTTGGCAATAGTGAGTCCACAGTAGTTGTTTGGAAAATGAATAAATGTAACAAGACACCCATAATTAGAATTTGTTAAGATAGTCAGTGGTTTTCAAAATTCAAAGCTAAGACTTATCTCAGTAAAGCAGCAAACTCCAGACATCAGGTGTGACATCATCTACGGAATTCAGACTTTTGCCAGACCACATGCGGACTTGGATCTAACAAAACATAAAGTAAATGATAATTCATAGCTTAGGTAGATACAGTTGTGTTTTTTGTTTTTCTGGTTTTTTTTTTCGTTTCAAGACACAGTCTTGCTCTGTTGCCTCCCATGCTGGAGTACAGTAGTGCAATTTTGGCTCACTGCAGCCTCTGCCTCCTGAATTCAAACCATTTTCCTGCCTCAGCCTCCCAAGTAGTTGGGACTACAGGTGTGCACCATCACACCTGGCTAATTTTTTTGTATTTTTACTAACAGGGTTTTGCTATGTTAGCTAGCTAGGCTGGTCTCGAACTCCTGACCTCAAGTGATCGGCCCACCTTGGCGCCCCAAAGTGTTGAGATTACAGGCATGAGCTACAGTGCCTGGCCTATAGTTCTTAAAATTAGTAATTTTTAAACAATAAAAATCCGAAAAACCCTCCCATTTTCCTTTTTTTTCCATTTTGTTTTCTCTTTCTGGCCTGAATATTAGCCCTTGTGCAGACAGAAATTAACAGAGTAGTTAAATGACTGCAAAGTTTTCCCCACTAATGGCATCTCTATAAAAAATTATGTGTAACAGTTGATTTCTTATTTTAAACAATTTATTTGAATAATACCAATTAAATTTTCTCCAGGTACAAAACAAAAAAATGTTTAAAATATTTATAATGATCGACATAGCAGTTTTTTTACTTTTTCCTAATTTCTATACTATATTGTCCTTTGATTTGTCAAGTTAGCTATTTTATGAGTCAAAGTACATTTACTAACACACAATAGCATCAGTAGCCCTAGCTGGTATTCATATTAGTCCTGATGTGTCACTGCTTGAAAGGTTTTTAAAGTGATGCTGAGTAGTATCCTCTGAGCCTCTAAAAATACCCTTTTCCCTATACCTGATTACGCCAACTGTATCCATTAATTCTAATTTAGAAAGCAGTGCTAAACCAAATAACAAAGCAACTATTTTACGATGAGAAGTGCAATAAGTAGAGCGGTAACACAACAAAAGTCACAATGAAATGAATATAAAATCGAATTTTCTTATTTGTAAAATAAAATTTTTTTTGCTACCTTGGTCCAGCATACTTGACTGATGAGTGCCCAGCTCGTCCTAGTTGATGTGCAAACGGACAGACCAACTGCTGAATAGGTCTTTCTCATTTCTGCCAAGAGGCCCCTTTTAACGGCATGTGAAATAAAAACTCCATGCTGAAGGCCAAATTGACACCAGCCATAAGATTACATCTAAAGCGTTGTGGAAATCAGTGCAAAGAATGCCATCTCCAAAACACTCACCACCAGCCTGGACAAAGCATGAGAGAGTACACTGAAGGGAATAATGCTGCCCTGGCCCTCGGGGGAGGGACCAGATGGGACCTAATAGCTCCTTTCTATACTACTCATTTCTATGATAATTCTAAGTTGCCACATGGCATATGTATTTTTTTTAATCTAAAGGCAGAATATCAGTCAATGAAGTGACCAGGATTTTAATGAAAGGTATTTTTTCATGAACTGTATCTATTCACATTGGGATAGTATTCATCTACCCCCAACTCTCACCCGCTGGCAACACATCACTTACTATTAGGTTGGGGGAAGTATATACAGAGGTCAAACACAAGACGTTTCAAATTATGGTCAACGCCAATTAGAAACAAAGAGATTCTAAGTTTTATTACGGGGTCGGATTATTTTCTGCATTAATTTTATGAGGTCACCCATCATAATCTCTTTTTCTTATAACTTGAGATCATGCTTGAATTTAAGGATTACAGCAGGCCAATTAATGTTTGGGGAAAAAATTGTAAGAGTGAAATTTATTCTGTTTTTGGAAACAAAATCAGGAACTAGAGAAGAAAATATCAATGATTTGGGAAAATTACAAAATAATTTCTAGCCATTCCTACTGATAAGTCCAAATGCAACTTAATTCAGGACACCTTTCCCTCCCCTCCCAACCAGATGCAATTTCTGTCTCCTCTGATCTTCCAGAAACCCACCTGCACTTCTCAGGTGGTACCTGCCACATTCTCAGACTTATGAGGGTCATTTCATTTGCTTTGGTTTCTAGAAGGCACTCTGAATGAGTGTTACGTTTCGCTCAGCATCCCACCTTATACACAATGGGCTGCCACAAATAAGAGGGACAGGATGAGACTGCAACGTGGGGCAAAATACCTAAAGAGATATGAGCATCTCACAATGGTCACAGCTTCTCAGACACAAATGTATATAAGTAAATTATGAAAGTAAACTCTAAGCTGAATGCGGCACAAAATTATATTTAATATAAATTAACAAATGCTATGAAAAGTCACGCTATGTTATTTTTAACAGAGGTTAAAAAAATTATCTTCCCTCTTCAATTCAGTTTTGAATACTTACCTCTTATGAAAAACTGCCAGGAATCTTGATTCTGGGATGGTTAGTAAGTTACATATTTAAAGCAAAAAGATACAAGCTCTGGTAGAGTGGGATGAGGCACTTCACAGCCCTGCTGGCGTTGATGCACGTGGCACATACAAGGCTCGGCAGCAGCTTCCCACTCACTATGGCTCCATCAAACAGAGGCCCAAAAAATGGAACCTGTTGATTTGAAATGAAAAAACAAAATGTAAAAACTGGTAACAGTCAAATCAAAGACAGGAGAATAGCTGACTGACGTCGGAGCTGCAGTAAGCATGTGAGCTGCCACCCACAGAGGGGACGCTGACTAACAGGACGCAGGTCCATGGCTTTCAAATCGAGTGAAGCAGGGCTGCTCCACAATCCTCCTCTAGTAGGCATTCTCCAGCAAAACTTCCAAATTTTATTCCCAATAAAATTTTACCAGGTTACTTGTTTATTCCCTTGTCATTTACAGAAATGGCATTGCTCTTAAGTACCTACATCACGTGAATTATGCATGGTACACAGACGTGCTTCACTGCACACTAGCCTTGCATCTGTCTGAAACCAGTTATGGAATTGGTAATGTTGCAGCTATGGGTCCTGATATATATTAACTCTTAAAGGAGATGATGACTAACCCTGTCAACAACTACAACGTCCTCACAGCCCTAATTCTTCTTTTACCTTTTACCCCCTCTGCTTCCAAGATACTGCATTACCTTCATTTCCTTCCACGCTTTTTTTTTTGAGACAGGGTCTCCTTCTGTTGCCCAACCTGGAGTGCAGTGGCACAATCATAGCCTATTGCAGCCTGAACTTTTGGGCTCAAGCATCCTCCCTCCACAGTCTCCTGAGTAGCTGGGATTACAATAGAGCCACCACACCTGGCTTCTATGTTTTTAAGAGACCCGCTTTTCATAGCTGAACCCATTTCTGTTATGTGGAAAACTCGCAAGTTTTTGTACTTACCCTTTTTGGATTTTTCTCTCTCCTTTTTCCCCCATTAGAATTTCTTTAATTTTATTCACTGATACAGAAATAGTAAGCTCCATGAGATCACAACTCTTATATAAGCTCCAGGAGATCATGTTACTCTTATGTTCATTCATTTATTACCTGCTTATTCAGGTATTAAGAAAATATTTATTATGTGACAGACACTGTTCTATCCACTGAAGAAACAACAGTGAATAGTACAAAAATCCCTGATTTCACTGAGCTTAGAATTTGTTGGAGATTTCGAAGAATAAACAGTATAAACATATAAAATATATAATAAGCTGGAAAAGTGCTAAGGTAAAAACTAAAGCAGGAAAGAGCAATAGAACTTTTCTTTTTGAGACGGCTCTCCAGTTGGATCTAATGGCCAGGGAGGGCTTTAAGGAGAGGATGACATTTTAGTAAATACCTAAAAGAAGTGATGAATGAACCACAAGCTATGAGGACATCTAATGGAAGAACATTCCAGGCAGAGAAACAGCACAGGCCTCGTGGTGGCAGAATTAGTATGTTTAGTCAATAGCAAGGAAGTCACCGTGGCTGAGTCCAAGTGAGTAAAAGGAAGAATTCAGAGCTAAAGTCAAGTAGGTCAAAGGGGCTTTATAGGAAGTTTTAAGAGTTCTGGATTTCCATTCTGAGTAAGATCAAAGCCTCCTGAGGGTTTATGAAAGCAGAGGATATGATCTAACCTACATTTTAAAGGTATACCACTCTAATTGTTTTGGCACCGTGCTGGGAAAACTGCAAAGGGGAATTTCGGAGACTAGCTGGGGACTACTGAATAACCTAGGCAAGGGATGGTAATGGCTTGGATCAGAATGGCAGAGAAGTGGAGAAAGGTGATAGACACATTTTGAAGGTAGAGTTGACAGGATTTGTTGAGGATAGTTAATAAGGCAGGAGAGACAAATAGAGGTCAAGGGTGACACCACAGTTTCTGGCCTGGCCATTGGAAGCCTGGAGCTATGTTTTCCTGAAATGGAGAAGACTGAGAGGGAGGGTCATTAGCTCAACTTCGGACATGCTAAATTAGAGAAACCTATTGGGTATCCAGTGATGACGTATCGAGGAGGAGTGGACATACCACGCTATGGTCACGGGAAAGGCCTAGGCTGGAGCTGTTCATTTAGAGATGGTGTTTCTAGCCATGAGATCAGATAACATCCACAAAAGATCAAGAAAAGGGACTCAAGGACTATATCCTTTGGCCTTCCAATGTTCAGGGGTTAGAGACATGAGAAACAATTATTAGAAGAGAAGGAGTGGCTGGAGATGGAGGAAGAAAACCCCTTCTGTGTATCTGTATCTGACACATAATTAGAAGGCAAATACCTGCTAAATGATTTACATTCATTAATATTTTAAATAATTTAAATTAATGAATGTGGGTCTCCATCCTAGGTCTTTTGATTTCTCTCCAAAATTGTTTATTTGTAAAGCACCTTTTCTGTGTTTGGCATTGGTGAAAGGACTTGGGATACAATAATGAATGAGAGACTGTCTCTGCCCATAAAGAGCCGACAGAAGAAAACTATGGACTAATATCTCTCAGCAAAGATGCAAAAATTCTTTATAAATCTTTAGTAAATTAAATCCAGCAAGATAAAAAGGGACAATATATCTTGATCAAACAGAATTTTCCATTGGAACTCAAAGTTCATTTAACATTCATAAATCCACCAATGCAATTTATTTTTGCAATGTGCAAAAATCCACACTGACAAAATACAGAATAAAAACAGTATGACTTTAACAGATACAGAACAAGCATTAAATACAATTTAATTCTAATTCACACTTAGAAAAACAAAACAGAATAAAAACTCTCAGCAAAACAGGATAGAAGAGAACTGCCTCAATTTAATGAGAGCTTAAAGGGGGTAAAAAGGCATCATAGTTAATGATGAAAGATTAAGTGGTTTCCAAAAGGGAATTGAAAAGACAAGGATGTCTATGTCCACCTCTTCTACTCAACATTTTTGAAGATCCTAGTCATTACAATAAAGAAAATTAAGAGAAAGAAAGAAGAAGGGTAAGGGAGAAGAAGAGAACATAAAGATTAGAAAGAAGTAAAACTATTTTGTTAATTTTTTTTTTGAGACAGAGTCTTGTTCTGTCACCAGAGTGCCAGGCTGGAGTGCAGTGGTGCAATCTTGGCTCACTGCAACCTCCACCTCCTGGGTTCAAGCAATTCTCCTGCCTCAGCCTCCTGAGTAGCTGGGACTATAGGCACGCACTAGCAAGCCCAGCTGATTTTTCTATTTTTTTTTAGTAGAGATGGGATTTCACCATGTTGGCCAGGATGGTCTTGATCTCTTGACCTTGTGATCTGTCCGCCTCAGCCTCCCAAAGAGTAAAACTCTTTTTATTCGCAGATAGCACGATTATGTACATGAAAAGTCCAAAGAAATTTAACTATAACTGGAGAGTGAATTTTGTTAAGTCTCAGAAAACAATATACTCCTCAAATCAGTTATATTTCTGAAAGTTAAGCAACCAACAATTGGGAAAAGACATGTAAAAAATTTTTTTTATAATTACATCAAAACAGAATAAATTTCACAGAAGAATGTGCAAGACATTTATACTGAAAACTACCAAACAGTGATGAGATAAATTAAAGACAAGCTAAATAAGTAGAAAAATGTACAATGTTCATGGACTGGAAGTTTCAATATTGTTAAGATGTCAATTCTTCTAAAATTAAACTATAGATTCAACAAAATCCAATCAAAATTCTGGCAAGCTTTTAAAAAAATATACATGTACCAAATACTTTTAAGTTCATGGGAAAATGAAAAGAAATAGCTTAGTCAAGACGATAATAAGACTGACATTACTTGAGTTCAAGGCACACTATAAAAATATAGTAATTAAGAAATCATTATAGTGGACCAGGATAAAAAAATATTTCAATAAAACAAAATATAGAATCCAAGAAGAGAGCCATACCTACATGGTAATTGATTTACAATAAAGGCAGCATATCAGTTTGATGGAAGAAAAAAGTCTGTTTCAATAAAGACACTGAAACAACTGGAGAGCCATATGGAAAAGTGAACCTTGACCTTCATCGCATATCACACACAAATATTGAGAGGATTACAGACTGAAATGTTAAAGCTAAAACCATAAAGCTTCCAGAAAAAAATATGAGAAAATCTTCATGACCTTAGGATAAGCAAGAATTTTTTAGGGTAAGAAAGAAAATAAATTTGACTTTATAGAATTTTCTACAACTCTGCCCATCACATAACTGAAAAGGCAAGTTATACTTATTCACCAAATAGAACTCAGCCACAAGGTCCATCCAGAGGAGTATAAATTAAGTCTGTGTTATATTCACCTAACAGGATATTCCACAGTAAGGAAAATGAAAAAACCACAACTACATGTAACATCATGAAAATAATCCAAATATAATGATGAGTGAAAGAAACAGACACTAAAAAGTTCCTACTATGTAATTTCATTCCCAGAAAGTTCAAAACCAAGTAAAATGAATCAACAGGCCCAGAAGTCAGGTTAGCAGCCACTTCTTCATTGTATTAGTGATTGGGATGGGGCATAAGGGAAAATTTTGGGGGCTGGCAATATCCTCTATTCTGATCTGGGGTGGGATTACACAAGTGTGTTCACTTTGAAAACATCCATCATGTTGTAAACTTACAATATGTGCCCTTTTCATTATTAACATTGTATTTCCAATGAAATATTTTCTAGAAAACAGCAAGAATATAGAGGATTTGAAGAAGACAACTAACAAACTCATCATAATGGAAACATATAAATAACTCTACCCAACAATGCTTTTTACTTTGTGAATAGTTGGAAAAAAATTAAAAGAGTATTTTGTGATGCGAAAATTACGAGATTTAAATTTCAGTTAATAAAGTTTTAATGGAACACAGATGCAATTATCCACTTACGTATTCCCTCCCTCCCTCCCTCCCTCCCTCCCTCCCTCCTTATTTCCTTCCTTCCTTTTTTTTTTTTTTTTTGAGACAGAGTCTCATTCTGTTGCCCAGGCTGGAGTGCAGTGGTGCAATGTCAGCTCACTGCAACTTCCTAGCTAATTTTTTTGTACTTTTAGTAGAGATGGGGTTTCATCATGTTAGCCAGACTGGTCTTGATTTACTGTCCTCAAGTGATCTGTGCACCTCAGCTTCCCAAAGTGCTGTGATTACAGGCGTAAG